AATTGACAGAAAAACGTGCCCTCATACACACCAAGTAACCTCAAATTTGAGATCAGCGACCAAAAAAACCCTTTTCTGAAAATCGTATAATTTCTGTAGAAATTGTATTTTTGTGCGATGGGATGCGATCACCGGCTTTACGTTACCAGTGGCGTACGATATATTATGCTATTCCGCACGAGTATCACGTATCTTGAAAAGTGACATTATGCCGTTTTTTTTTGACATTATGCTGTTTTTTTTTTTTGACATTACGTAGGTTATTCTACAAGCACTTAGTTGTACGTGTTGCCTAAACGTCATGAGGCTTGTTAACAATCTTTGGCTCTAATGTGATGTAAAATCTGCTTCTGAGATGGCATTACTGGAGGTCAAAACTGTATGTTGTATGTGTTGATGATAATTACATTGGGTTCTTATCTCAAATACACTTAATTGAGCTTCAAAGCTAGAAATTAGTTGCGCATCCACCTTGTCTTATCCATTCTGGAAATTACATATACAAATTTGCTGAATTTCAAAAATGAGAGATATAAGAAATACTTATATTCACTATACACTGTCGAGTTACAAGCCATATACATACTAACAGTAATTACACACAACGCGGGCGCGGTGATGATTTCCCGTAATTCTCCTCAGTTTTTCGTAATTTATAAGTTTGAACGTAACCTCTCTTCAGAAAGCACATCATATAAATAACCCGTCATATTCGGCATATTCAGTAATGATCTTCTCACACAGCAAATATCACTGATTTTATACACATGCAGCCCAATAGAGATATTCATCCAGATACGATCTTGCTATTCAACCAACTTTCTTCTCAGAGATAAAAACTACAGACAATGATCACTCAGCGCCTCACAAAACTATGCAACCAATAATGCTTAGTTTAGTTGAGTGATTCCTCCATAGGTGGACGTTCACAATGATCCTAGTGAGCAAACGTGGAATAACTGTTTGCGCCTTAAAAACTAACTAGTCTGCAGGTTGACATATTATACGTTTTCTTTTGACGTTTCATAGGTTTTTTACATGATACCCGTGCCGTTTTGGTACCTATCATGTTTCTCAGAACTTTGCAGTGGTGAAGATATTTTATAACTGGACTAGCATTCATCCATCTGCCGGCGTACCACGCCGGCCGCAATGGCGTTTTCCCGGGATGGACGTAAAAGTAAATTGCCTTACTTTGTAGCCGCATGCGTTCAGTCCCGCACTAATGAATACAAATTGAAGGTTTGCGCGTACAGAAAAAAACCGTGCGAGATTTGTGTTTGTCGCGCGTCGCGCTGCTGGGAAAATTACTAGATTTAGCGGTATTCAAGCAACAACCCTAGGCATTACGTGTGTGCGTGAGGCCCAACTAGTTACTATACTGTCAAAATTTCGTTAGGTTATGCAGTGTCATTAAAAGGATATTTAAGAACATGTAAATCATTTCACATAGCGCTCTTTAGGGATCAGCATTTCTGTAGGAGGTTACATAGGATATCTTGCTGCCTACGCTATTGGGCAAGGAAGTAAGGTAGTCGCGAAAAATTTCGAAAATGAGATATATTTTTTGGATGCTATTTTTTATTTATATATATAATAATAATAATAATAATAATAAGCGTCTTTATTTAAACTGTACTTCATACAGAAACAAGAGTGGCATATGGTGGCGAAGTTTAGCAACATGCTACTCTTACACTTAACCACCAATGCAAAAAAAACAAGTTGTTAAGTAGCAGATATCAAACAAAATATACATATATACATACACATGTACATACATACATATATACATACACATGTACATACATACATATATACATACATATGTACATACATACATATACACACATTGCATACGTACATGTTGCACCAAGGTTTGCTACATGTACACAAGGGAAGTGAAGAATCATTTAACAATATATCTAATTAAGACTATGGATCCAAGTAAATATGAGATTTGACAGCTTTCTTGAAGCAATTTAAGGACATGGTTTTGAATTCAGGACTCAAGGCATTATATAACACTGAAGCCCTGTACGTGAAAGAACGCTGGAATAAAGTTGTGGAGTGAATAGGTGTAGTTATCAAATCTGGAAATCTAATATGTCTATTATGAATATTACGCCTAAAGATCAGTTTTTCTCTTAAGTATATAGGTTTTGACATAAGTATTAGTTTATGAATAAAAACAAGGTAATGATATTTGACAATATTTTTTGTTATCATCCAGTTTAATTCAATAAGACTACCAGAAACATGGTCAAAGCGCCTTAAACCGCAGATGAACCTAGCACAATTGTTTTGCACAATTTGAATCCGATTTCTAGTAACAACATTGAGACACGGATAATATAAAATATCACAGTAGTTGAAAATCAGCATAACCAAAGATGAACACAGTTTTTTCCTTAGCTTATAACTGAAAATTGCTTTATTGGTATATAATGATCTCAGTCTCAAGTAGGTTTTCTTCAAAAGATTTTTAACATGACTGGTGAATCTAAGTTTGAAATCGATTACCACGCCAATAATGTTAACCTCGTCAACCGGGTACAGTCTTTGAGATCCAATTTTAATAGTTAATCGACTTTTAATTTCTTCTTTCCTACGATCCGAACAAAAAAATAACAGGCTGGATTTACCAGGATTTATTGAAAGGTTGTGGTTATTCGAGAAGTCATACACTTTTTGAATATCATGGTTTATTGATGTCTGTGCCATTTCCATATCATCAGTATCAAAATAATGGACCAGTTGAGTATCATCCGCAAAAGACTGGAGTTCACAAAAACTCACAGCCTTAGGCAGATCAGCAATATATATCAAAAACAACAAGGGACCCAAAACAGACCCCTGGGGTACTCCAGACGAGATTTCTAGAAAACTAGATTTATTGTTTTCAATTGATACACACTGCGATCGATTTGACATATAATTTCGAAAAAAATTCAATGCAATTGGATCTATGCCATAATACTTCAACTTTGCTATTAACAACTCATGATTTATTTTGTCAAATGCCTTGGAATAATCGATTGACATCACTGCTACGCCCTTTTTTTTATCAAGTGCTCTAATAACATTATTCACTAAGTTTAAGAGGAAATTAGTAGTACTGAAAGATTTCCTAAAAGCAGACTGATCAGATGGGATGATATGTTCCTGTGCATAATGCATTAGTTGTATGTGGGCTGCCTTCGATAAACAAGGCAACAGGCTTATAGGCCTTAGATCAGCAAACTCATCTGGATTTGATTTTTTTGGAACTGGTACCACAATTGCTCGCTTCCACGTTTCAGGGAAATAACCTCTTTCAAGGCAACTATTAACAAGGTGGGTGATGTAGATGAGAGTAACAGGCAGACTGAGCTTAATCATAGACAAGCTCAACCCATCAGTACCTTTTGCATCGGACTTAAAACTAGAAATTATTTCAGCTACTTCATGAGGCTCTAGAAGCTTGAATATATATATATATATATATATATGTATGTATATATATATTACAAAAAGTAGGAAAATAATGGGCAAAATCCGCAAAAAGGAGGAAAGTGGATTCGAGCAGAAAGTAGGATAGGTAACCCGAGCGATACGTATTTCTGCTGGTTGGCTTCATCAGGCCCGAAATGAATGGACATATGCAACTTCAAAAGTAGATACACATGCCCAAACATCCGGATACGGGTGTAACCTGAGGAAACGAAGATATAAAGGGAAAAAAATCACACGCAAAGTGCACAACAAGAGCCAACCTACACATTGTAGTATAAAACGGCTAGAAGACCTCGAATTTGGTTGTGGTTAGATGTCTCCTTGAAAATGCAAGGTCTTCTAGCCATTTTATACCACAATGTGTATAGGTTGGCTCTTGTTGTGGAGTCCTAGACTTCGAAGTTGAGTCATTTATTTTAACAGTGAGTAGATCTGATCAAAAGAAATGTTTTTTCCTTTACCATTTTTCTGGTAAAATTAAAGTAACAAAGTTATAGCCCTTTGGAAGTTTGAGTACCGCCCTGTCTCAATAATAATATTATGTGCTCGTGTTTGGCGACAACGGATATAATCCGCCTTATCGGTTCATCGCATCGGAAACAAAAAAGCGAAAGAATTTGGAACGATGTTTTTACAATTATTTCATTCAGTTGTATACAGTCAGTGTCAGTCGGTAGTGAATAGTGGTGTCTGTTGCGTGGCTCAAACGAAATAAAAAATGGCACATGTTTATGCGGATCGGTTTCCCAATCGAGTGCAACCAACCCCTCGTGCCTTTGTTAATGTAGGACAACGGGTTCGTGAATCATTTGACTTAAGACCTCACATATGGACGGCATGCCGGTGCTCCAAGACCTCACGATCAAATACAGGTCCGCACTGAAATACTTGTCGGGAGGATACTTTATAAAACAAGGTAACATTTTTTTTTAATTTTTTTTTATTTTTACACACATATTTTGGTTTATCTTCCTTCTACAATCATTATCTGAAAATTAATGACTCAATTTCAAAGTCACCCTGTATATAGTCAGTACATCGTTGCTATTGAAAAAGCACAAAATAAATATTTAAAATTCGTAGCTTTTAAAATCGATGGTGTGTCCACCAAGAGGCAATAGTTATCCTGAGCTACTACATAGATTTGATTATCAGTCTTTGGAGCGCCGTATATATCAGTTATCTGTTACTTTTCTTGCACAAGCTTTTCAATAGAAAAGTAGATTGTCCTGTATTGTTAGCTCAAGTAGATATTCTGGTTCCTAGGATAACATTTAGACAATACAATACTTTCCTGTGCAAAAGAGCTGAAACTAACTTACTATTAAACGTTCCGATTAATTTTATGTGCCGAAATGCCAACAAAGTTTCAAGTGAATGTGATATTTTTTACTGCAGTGTCTTTGTATTAAAGAATAAATCTCGAGCCCATCTACGATGGATTTTGGTCAAGTTTTTCATCTTTCTTCTATTTGTTTTTTTTTGTTTTTCTAAGATATTTTCAGTTTGTGCTGTAACTACCATGTAAGCTATACTACTGCTTTTTGCTCTGTAAATGTTGGGCAATAAACGCATTATTATTATTATTATTATTACTATTATTATTATAATTATTATTATTATTATTATTATTATTATTATTATTATCGTGACTATGTTTATCCATGATTTGTAACTTTTCGAATTAATTTGTTATTCATGTTTTTTGGGCCTACTGAGCTTCCACACTAGAATGTTGTGGCAGTAACAGAACAAAATTACTATTTTCAAAGAATTAAAAAAATTTTGGAGTCAATAAGTCTCAAAGTTAAAGTTTCAGTTGGACCTTTATAGAATGCAGCAAAAAATTTGGTTTGTGTCCAATACGTTGCACTTTAAAATGTTGTTGTTAAGTGTTCAACACTTTTAATAAGATTCGGACTGAGCACTCAAAGAAACAAGGAATAGACAGAAATAAATCAAAATTACCTCATACCTTTCCAGGTAAAAGCCCAACATACCCTTTCGCAACACCGATGACTATAATATATTAACACTTATCAATTATTCGATCTAAACTGCTTTTTACATTCCACCATGTTCAGCAACTGTTTCTAACGCTAAGACTGTATGAAAGCTACACGCTTTTATGTTTTCGCTGAAAAATTCGAACAACTGTCAAAATGGCAGCGTAAACGTGATCGACTTGTAGTTTGAACTGACCACATACTATGAGATTTTGGAGGCAAACAAATCATTACATTTCTCTTCAAAACTGATAGAGAAATGTTCTCGATGCGCGTCTCCTTCTGGTATCTGGGTTCAGCGCCCAGCGTAACGGTCTGCTTGATTGTTCTGCTCACACTTGACAGACCAACTTGTTTCTTGACCCACGCTATCACTTCGCGACTCGGCGATTGGGAAATCGCAGATCCCTGAATCTACATGACCAACAAATCCGTGCAAAATCGCGGACAAGACGAGTAATCGTCTAGTTCTTTCTCCCGAAACACACCTGTGATACAAACTTGAACAACCGGCCAGTTTACGACTTATTATTCTGCTGTTTATCTTTGTTCTGTGACTACGGATGCATGTCTACTAAGCTGCAATTGACATCAAGGTGTTCCGTAGTTAAAAATGTAATAACCTGAAAAATACCCAACGATTTTATTTTTCCCCAAAAAAAATCACCCAGAACATTTTATCCCCCAAAAATTCCCCAACGAGGTTAAAGATTCCCCAAATTTGGAGAAAAATCCACCAATATGGCAACCCTGGTTGGTTGGCGCTGCCACGTCTGACGGTATGGGAAGGGGCAACGTTGCCAGATGGGCGGTAACTACTGGTGGTGCAGGAAAAGAACGCCTATGGACTAATTGTATGTGCCTGTTTAACTGACTTGAGCTTTTTTATTTCCCTATTGTACATGTTCATAACTATTTTTTTTTCTAGGGTGGCTTAACTTGTGCTGTACATAACCCTTTATGAACTGATGACAGCGTTGCATCTAAAGTACTGAGCCAAGTTACTTGACACTTTTTTGTATAGGGACCTGTTGCATTAATTTATGTTTTCTATATGTATCCGACAGATTACCATCTTAGCTAATAACGTATTTCCTGGCACACTTTTTGTCCACATTGGTGTATGCCAAGCTTTAGTCCACATACAATGTACCGCGTTACGACTGACACTATATTAGAATACACTACTAAAAAGAAAGCAGATTCCATTACAACGAAATTACTTCGCGAGGTATATAAGCGTAAAAGAAAAGGAACCATCTCGCTGTTTATATCTGCTATATCGTGAATGTAACAGACTAAAGTTCGTCTCTGCTAAAAGAAAATGTTGGCAATTACGGGATACACAGAACTACTAATTCCCCGCACTTGCACGGGCTACAAAATGTTCGCTAATGCTTCCTGAGCAATGTTGCTTGTACTGCGCGAATACTGATTTTAAATTCAAATGAAGTCTCTTTGTATACTGCTCCTAATTCTTGTGATGTAGTTGTGCATAATACATCTGAACATTCGGCACCCCTCCTCTGTACTTGTGTTCTACGAGGAACAGTAGAAATGTTCAATGAGGCGTTATGATCCAGTCAGTCTGTATGTTATTACAAGAAGTAAAACTTGCAGATTGACGTTTATATAACGCGGTCAACCCCCTTAGTGAAAAGGTTAACTTCGCACATGCATAACAATAATACCAACCAATGCAACATCGATACGATTCTAGGATGCAAAAGTTACATTAAATTTACTTATAGTACAATAATGGAAAAGTAATGTCTCAAATATTCCTAACCCTACCCGAAGTAGACGCCGTACGCCTATGGATGCGTCAGCTGTTGTTCGTACCCGTACGTTTCCCGCTAAGGCCAGTCGTTTTACAGGTGTCATCGGGCGGTGGCCAGCAGTGAATGTACGAGGCTTTTCCAATTGAGACCCATATTTGGCCCAAAAAAATGTTATCTACAAATAATTACTACTTAACGAATTCTTATGACTGCTGCTTGAAGAATTCTGAAAACACTTACCTTTTAACGCCTTTTTCAGTGGCTAAAAAAATGTTCACATGACCTTGCCTGCAGAAGGTTGAACCTTAAACTTCTTTGGTGACGGAGAATTTACCTATTTACTTACATCATACTATCATATAATATCAAAACATATACATTATTTATAAAAGTACCTATGAAGTAAAAAATGTATCATATATGTTTATAAAATTGTGTAAGTTGGAGGATGTTGGTATTCGCTTTGTGGTCGCAATACATTTTGAACTTGTAAAAACCTGAGAGTCGCAGTCTCAGAGCTTCGCTACCTTGCACTGACTTGTTCAATTAGTCACTCTATAAATACGAATGTGAGACAAATACGTTTATTCGTTTCCTGATTCTTGAAAAGGAAAGTGCTAAGAAAATATTTTAAAAAATATAAACACATAGTATATCACACAGATTATAATGAGTCAGTGTTATTTTGTTTGAGAGAGCTGGTAAGTGCATTATTTTTTATTAAATTTTAGTTTTGTACTCGTAGTTAGCAAAGATAGATAAATTACGCCAATTTTGACTTTAGTTATTAGTAGTTAAATATTCAATCATGCAAAATTACACGAGTACTCCTCAATAGTTTCTTTTTGAAAGTTTTAGCAATCGGTAATATAATTACAGTGCAATCTCCGTAATTCGAGCTAATTGTTGCAAGAAGATGTTCGAATTATGGAATGTTTTCGGAAAAATCAAAAAATATTTTGAATATACAGCTGCTGGATTTTCTGTCTTATTTAAATAATTTAATTTTGCCCACAGATGACTGATGCCATGTCCGAATCTAAAAAGAAATGTAGACAGTTCAGTGTTGATTATTTGAAATTTGGCTTCATTCCATCATTGCCGGACAAACAATCGCCTATGTGCCTTTTATGCAACAAAGTTTTGGGCAATGACGCTATGAAACCATCTAAACTCCAAAATCATCTGAGAAGATGCCACCCTGATAAAACAGAGAAAGATTTGAAACACTTTCAAACACTCAAAGATAAATTTCAGAAGAGACCTACACTGGACAGAATGTTCGCTTCGACGTCACAAAGAAATGATGATGGTTTGCGGGCATCTTACAATATCTCGTTACTTATGGCAAAATCCGGAAAACCGCATACTATCGGAGAGAAGTTAATTTTGCCGTTGAAGAGGTTTTAAAAACTGTTTTACACAAACCTGCATCTGATATCATTAAAAGAATTCCCTTAAGCAACAATACTGTTGAAAGACGTATTGATGAAATGAGTTCTGATATTGAACGCTTCTTATGTAATTATTTGCGACCCATTTCTCTATACAACTGGACGAGTCAACTTTACCTGATAATGCAGCATTATTATTGGCATATGTTCGTTTTATTATGAATCAAGAAATCTACGAAGAACTGCTCTTCGCAAGAACTTTGATAACCGACACTAAAGGTGAATCAATATTTCATGTTTTGAAGGATTACTTCATTGAAAAAGCAATTAGTTTATCAAATATAATATCAGTAGCTACAGATGGAGCACCTGCCGTGGTTGGACGTTATCGTGGATTTATAAGGTATTTAAAACAAAATGTGTCAGGGGTGTTAGCAATACATTGCGTCATCCATCGACAACATTTAGTTGCTAAAAATTTGAGTGTTAGATTGCATGAATCACTTCATTTAGTCATTGATGCAGTAAACCGAATCCGAAGCAACGCGTTGAATACGCGGTTATTTGCGCAGTTGTGTGAAGAAAATGACGAACACTTTCATCAATTATTCCTTCACACTGAAGTACGCTGGCTGTCGAACGGCTTATGTTTGACAAGATTTTTTGCACTTTTTGAGACTATTTTAGAATTTCTGGATACTAAAGATAAAATTTTAAAAGAAAATTTAATGAAGAGGAAAACAGACATCGCCTATTTAACAGATTTGTTTACAAAATTTAATATGGTTAATTTGCAATTACAAGGCGACAGTTTAAATTTGATTAAAACAAAGTCCATCTTATCAGCGTTTCTTGCCAGAGTTAAACTAATGAAGCAAAATATTGGACGGGGCGAATTTTCTCAGTTCCCCAATTTGTCACAGACAAGCTGCCAGGAAGACGACGTTTCAACTTACGTTCAACATTTAAATGCCCTCTATTCAGATTTTGAATCTAGGTTTGAGGATATTTTGACTATGGTAATACCACCGTGGATAATTAATCCATATGGTGACTTAGAAGAAACGAATGTCATAATATAAGAGGAAATGACTGATCTAAGTATAAACGAAGAACTTAAGGTTCAGTTTAAAAACGGATATCAGCAATTCTGGCTGCAAAACAACATACCCGTTACTTATCCCGTATTATGGAATATAGCGAGGAAATTTTTAATTTCCTTTCCATCGTCATACCTAGTGGAAAGGGGGTTCAGCGCTGTCACCAATCTCCTAACGAAAAAAAGAAACAGACTGGACATCATTAGCCGAGGAGATTCAAGATTAACCCTTACAAAATTGACGCCAAATGTTAATAATTTATTATTAAAGCATCAGGTTCATCCTTCTCACTAAAAATATTGACTTATTGCTTATGTTATTTTATTTATAGTTTATTTTTTTAACATGGCAAGGGGTCTACAACACAAAAAAGTTTGGGGAACTCTGGTCTAGACAATCAACTTTGCCACTGACATTGCAACTGGACACTATCAGCTAAAGCAGCATCTGTATGATGTGAGACTGAATAGGGAGAGTCATGCACTTGAGTGCCAGCTGTCTTAACAGCCCGAGAATCCATTCCGATTCTGGGGGAACGTTGGCTTTATGTGTATAAGGGAAACTCCACTGAGTCACATCACCACCTTCTTACTCTAGCTTGAGGTGGCCTGATCGTCCTTCTCCCTATAGAGAATCCAAAACAGATGTTGCTGGTCCAGAGACGCAATGGATTTTGCTTTTCTCCCCTTGGCCTACGCGTACACGTCCGCCGATCCCTACTTGGGGATGATATACACGGTGGTAATCCTGTCACTGAAATAAGTCCATTAATTAATCCAGTGTGATTCGGCGTCAACGGAATGACGGTGATCACTGCGAGGAACACCGCAAAGTAAATTAAACCGGGCATGACACCGCCACCACGCCGCGTGTTACCGCCATGCTGGCCGAATTGGTGACCACTCCTCATTATTAACAACGAGAATTATGCTGGGAATAGCCTCCATACATTCGGTATTTTCGACTGCAATACCTCACAGATGCAGTGCACGCACACTGCACGCTACAATACAATTTTGCATATTTGCATTACGAACAGTGGAATCGTGGGGTTGTAGCTTCATGCAGATCATTTGGCCAGCAGAGATCGAGGTAGGGACCAGTATTAGTCAGGAAAACTGGCAGTTAGCGTTTTTCGCAAATCTCATTAGAAGCCAGTTGTCATGGAATATTTTTGAACTGTTTTGTTTGATCTTCCAATGAAGCTCAGGATGTCTAATCGTTCGCCTGAGCATAGAACAATGTTGGCTTGAGGATTGGCGAAGTCCACACTACTCTCTTATTAGCCCCTAATACTAAGGGAGCATCAGAGCCATCGAAATATCTTGAATTCAACTATGGTTTGCTGTGAGACTGGGTGAGACTATCAGGCCACATCCTCACCTGACCGCGATATGTATTGAAATTTCAAACTCAAACCATAACCGTAACCAACAACTCAAACCAAAACCCAAATGGTGGGTACCAGATTCCATATAATCTTTTTGACAGATGACGCGTGAATCGTGTCTTGTGTCATTATCAAACTTGTTCAGTTTGGTCTATAATTTAACCATGAATCGACTTACGAACGAACAACGCTTGCAAATTATTGAATTTTACTATCAAAATTCATGCTCGGTTAAGAGAGTGCATCGAGCACTGCTTCCAATTTATGGGCAAATCGGCCTACTGAGGGATCTATTCGGAAGCTTGTGACTAAATTTCGAACCCAGTTTACATTATTGGACATTAAACCACCAACACGCAGACGTAGAGTGAGGACTGAAGAAAATATTGCGGCTGTATCCGCCAGTGTTAGTGATGGCCGTGAAATGTCGATTCGCCGCCGTTCGCAGCAATTGGGCCACTGTTACTCCACTACGTGGAAAATTTTGCGACAGGATTTGGGTGTAAAACCTTACGAGATACAGCTGGTGCCAGAATTAAAGCCACACGACCTCCCACAACGTTTCCAATTTGGTGAATGGGCGCTGGCAAAGTTAGAGGAAGATCCACATTTTTATCGAAAAATTGTGTTCAGCGACGAAGCTCATTTCTGGCTGAATGGGTAGGTTAACAAGCAAAATTGCCGCATCTGGAGTGAAGACCAGCCAGAAGCATTGCAAGAGCTACCAATGCATCCCGAAAAAATAACTGTTTGGTGTGGATTATGGGCTGGTGGCATCATCGGGTTGTACTTCTTCAAAGACGACAATGACCGGAACGTAACCGTGCGATGATAACAAACTTTTTTTTGCCCAGAATGGAACAGCTGGACTTGGCTGACATGTGGTTTCAACAAGATGGTGCCGCATGCCACACCGCACACGAAACAATGGCCCTATTGAGAGGCGAGTTCGGAGAACAGTTTATCTCACGATTGGGGCCCATCAATTGGCCGCCTAGATCGTGTGATTTAACGCCGTTGGACTATTTCTTGTGGGGCCATGTTAAGGCTAATGTCTACAGGGATAAACCAGCAACGATTGACGCACTGGAAGCTAATATTGAAGCATTTATTCGTGAGATACAGACCGATATGTTGGAGAGAGTGTGCCAAAATTGGACCTCGCGCATGGGCCATCTAAAGCGGAGCCGCGGCCAACATTTACATGAAATAATCTTTAAACATTAAATTATATCGACCGTTCTATCAACTCAAATAGAGATTTAATCGTTTTTTCAAATTTTTTGTGTTTTTTTTGAAAATCAAATCCTATACCTCTTGAAAAATCACCCGTTAGATTGGTTAGAAGGGGACTTTTTTTAATAAGATTATGCAAAATATCCAAATCAGAATATGCTTCCCATCAGATACTCCGCAGACTATTTAGTAGAATATTTTGGCTATGGTGGCCGCTTGTGGTCCTCTGGTTTGTGTGGCTCACTTTCAGCTACACCAGCTACCCGAGGAAGCAGATTAGCTTGCTAGGAAGATACCGTTCAAACTCGCCAATCGGATTGTTTTCTTATTCATTCCAGTAATTGGTAGGCTTGCCATAGGACTTTATATGTTTCATCTCACATCGATGGTATTGGAACCAAGGACTTGAAAAGCTTGTTGATCTCTATGATAGTTCTTGTGCCTTAAGTGTCTGTCGCATACAACTTCTTATGGCAACCAGGCGCTTAGGTACCTTAGAAGCAACTTGAGCAAATAAAGGTAACCTGTTATATTGTGTTTCTACAGAAACTATCCATATAGCCCTGGTATGCTCATCTCCGTTCCTAAACATCAACTCGATAGCATGTCTGTCATACTTGTGTGCAATCTTACGAAACCCTGAATTGTCTGCAGCTGTAGCAACTTACAGAGGGAATAACGTTCATCTGAAGCTCAGCCGGATAATTCTTTCACTGGATGTATCACTTTCCCACCCACTGATTAACTGCAACAACACTGAAGACGTATGACAAGGAATTTATAGCAGTAGTAGATTAAAGAGGGGTAACGTGATGCTCATATAATAATAATAATAATATTAATGATAATATTAATAATAACAATAATAATAAACCGTCTTTTATTTTCGAAGAAAATTCAGCATAATAAAAAAATATATATAATACCAGTCGTGAAGTCTAGCCGACAGCTACTCTACTCAACCACTGGAGGGAAGCACCCAAATAAGCGAGTAATTGAATTTGTTATTAAATAATATGTAATTCTGTGCCTTAGAGTTAAACGATCGTAACTCCATTGATATATGAAATAGAACAAACAGCTAGTGATTTTTTGTTAGAGGTAAACAGTCGCTTCTCCATACATACGCACAACACTATCATATGAAATCATCGCTACGCAGCGGTAAACAGTCGTGTTTCCGTCACGCACCGCTTGCTTTACAAACTGTGCTGTTCAATCATACTTCAAAGTTGATCAAGGTGCTTAAGTAAACAAAAAACGGTAATAATGTCCTCAAGGCCTCAAAAATTAGTGCAGCTTGCACTGGAGGAGGAAATCGATTCTCGAGAATCTAGTAAGTACAACCTAATTGATATTATAGGTGTCCGAGCCAAAACAGGAACATTATGATGATCGTAAACTACTTTTACATATTACAAATAATAAGACCTTCATTAAAGTGTATCATTCACAAGTTTCTTCTACGTGGACACACACACATGGAAGCTGATCATATCGATGCACTCATGCACTTATCGAACGAGTTATAAAAAAACAACCAACCATGAAAATATGTACGCCATTGGACTGGCAACAACTTATAAGATCAACCGGAGTCACAGTTTTCGAGATGCACTTAGATGACTTCAAGAACTTCGAGGCCTTATTTTCCGGCACAGGATTACCTCTCATTCAAAAGAAACCGACAGTGGACAAAGAAAGCTTTTTAGTGTCATCAGCGGTGTGGCTTGAGGTTCGAAAACAGGATCCAGGGATACTCTACTATAAAACAGACATATTCCAAGAGGACTACAAAATGGTAAACATGAATAGATCCACTAGAAAACCGATAGGGTTACCACTAGAACTATGTTCGCCGCGTCAAACCCCAAAAGGACTTAGCAAGAAAAAGCACGATCATCTTCTCATGCTTCTGCAATAGATACCAGAAGCATTTCATGATTTTTATAAAAATATTCCTGTGCTGGGTCAACAAGGAGATGATGACGACGACGGCGATTGAATATATATTCTCCAGATGTCATTTTTTGTAATAATATAATGTAGCCTATTTCCACCAATTGTACTTACTGTGTTTCATCCTATGCTGCACCTGGATTTTATTATCATAGTAAATAGTCGTAACTCACAAAATAATCTGAATATCAAATTCTAAGATCATTAGCATGAAGCATTACTGTTCTGTGTACCATATAATATGTTTTCCCAAAAAACTATATTCGCATATTAACAGTAACATGAACACAAAGCCATTCTGCTACTAACTCAATCTTTAATTTGCTTATTCTCTGAATTGCATTATATGGAGTTACAACTATATACCTCCTAAGGCACAGAATCACATATGTTAAAATCAATGAGGTAGACAGAAAAAGTATACATATTATGAATAACATAGAGCAACACAGGCATTCACAGTAGAACATACATGTACAGAGAAAGGAACAACACATTCTATGTTAATCAGATCTAGCCAAACTTCTGATATTATTGCTTCCATATATACATATACATATACACATATATACATACGTATACACATATACATACATAGATAACAGTTACACAATAATAAATAAATAAAAAGTTGAATATACAACATTGCATCATTGATCCTACTGCATATCAAACGAATAACGTTTTAGTTTGAATTTGAAATTGTTCATATTAAGAAGCTTGAATTCTTGTGGCAGCTGATTATACATCCTGATAGCATTATATATGCACGATCTTTGAAACATGGCGGTCTTATGCTGCGGAACGGTGTATTTCAATTTTGATCTTTTATTTTGAGGATGAGTATCTTTGCGAGGTATGAAATGTTTGAGGATTTGGAGTGTTGACCAGTTTATGCGTAAAATTACACAAGGGAAGGAGCCTCCTATTTTTCATGTTAAGCCATTCACACTCTTTGATTTTGTGTGATATGGGGTCATACTTCCTAATTCCGTATACTAGCCTACAGCAGCTATTTTGAACATGTTGTATTTTCGTTAAGTCAGCACTAGTCAAGCACGGCCCATAAATAAAGCTACAATAGTTGACATTACTAAGCACCAAGGTCTCACATAAATTTTATTTTAGTTTTTTAGGAAATGTCGTCTGCTATAAATGATGTTTTGAGGGAACTAAATGCTTTATTTACAAGCGTTTGAACATGGAGTGAGAAACGTAGGCTTGGATCAACAGCTAAGTCTAGATTCCGAGAAGAATCACAAAAACTAAGCACTTCGCTTGTAATTTTCAACGAAAGAATGTCCTTTAAAATATGTATACTATTTTTATTGCCAAAAAGTATTACTTTTGCCTTCTTGGAGTTGAGCTCTAGGTTGTGCTGCTCTGATAATGTGTTTATCGATTGAAGCTCTTCATTCAGAGATCGTTCTGCTGCAGCTCCGTCTTTCATGGGAGAGTTAAAGTAAACTTGAATATCGTCAACGTAGGATTGTACCTTGACGTTTTGTATCTTTCTTAGGATTTCTGGTGTATACTATGTATAACAAAGGCCCAAGTATGGATCCCTGTGGCACCCCTGACAGGATATCTGTGCTTGCCGAATAAGAACCATCAATATGAATTTTCTGGGAGCGTCTAAATAAGTAGCTCCATATTAAAAACAGTGAGGGGTCAGTAAAACCGTAGTATTTGAGCTTTGAGCACAACAATTCACGATTGATGTATCAAAAGCCTTTGAAAAATCCAAAAGAACAATGGCTGTAGTCGCCATCCAAACTTATAATACACTAAAATACACTCTCAGCACATTGGATGAAGATCGACGCTTATTCGCTGTGATCAGCAGAATTATTTCTTAGTTCAAGTACTTTTACCATGTTACCCGTTACCGTCGGTGAGTCAGTCTGTCGGTCTGTGAATCCATCCGTTTGTCGGTCTGTCTGTCGTTCCACAAGGTTACTACACCAAAGCTTTGAAGTTTTTAAAAATCGGCCCAGTGATGACCCAAGACGAAAAAAATAAAGATCGCTCAAACGTCGTTTTTTGACGTATATATACTAAGTGACATATAAATCCGAACACCCAGTTTAAATGGTTTTATTTTAATAAAATTTTGTATAAGTACTTAATGAAGCATAATAAGTAAATGATAAAAATTTCAAAATGCTTTAAAGCCCTTTGACCTTTAATAATGTGTGGATGCACCCTGATGTGCTACGCATTCTCCAACGCGCCTAGGCATGCTTCTGATCAGGTGGTCAACGTCCTCCTGTGGTATCTCATTCCAGGCAACCACCAACTCCTCTCGAAGTGCTTCTAGAGTCTGAGGAGGACGTTGCAAATTGAGCAATCTCCTACCCATCATATCCCACACGTGCTCAATTGGGGATAAGTCGGGAGATCTTGGTGGCCATGGTAACAATGTGACATCATTATGTTGAAAGAAGTCTATTGTGACTATTGCAACATGTGGTCGGGCATTATCTTGTTGGAAAGTTGGATCTGCCAGGGTGTCAAGATAGGGTAAAAGATGGGGTTCTAGAACTTCGTGGATATAACGCTGCGCGTTCATGTTACCTCTGATGAAGATTAAAGGTGACCTGGAACCATAAGCTATAGCACCCCAAACCATAACTCCAACAGTGTGATGAACATGTCTTTCAACAAAAAACTGTGGATTCCTCCTTTCACCACGTCGCCTTCTAACCCTGGCACGACCATCGTGCATGCCTAAACAAAATCGAGACTCGTCACTAAAGACAATACTGTTCCATTCCTGATCCCAGAGTGACCGTTGTCTGCACCACTCAAGGCGATTACGTCGGTGTTCTCGAGTTAAAGGGAGGACCCAGTGTGGCCGGTATGAAAACAAGCCAAAACTTCTCATTCGTCGGTAAACACTTCGCATGCCAATAGGTCTTCCGTGTTCTGCAAACCATTCATTTGCAATGGACCTGGTAGTGGAGAAACGGTCCCTTAAGGCCAATAATCTTAGGCGGCGATCTTCACGGTCTGTTGTTCTACGGCGGCGTCCAGTGCCCCTTGCTCTTTGCGTACGGCCTTCTCGAAGCCATGCCTGACAACACCTGACCACAGTGTCTACACTTCTTTGCACTCTAACTGCAATTGCCCGAAAAGAAAGTCCAGCTTCCCGAAGTCCCACTATACGGCCTCTATCAAACTCACTAAGTTGACGAAATCGTACAGGTCTCCGTACTCTAGGCATCGTAACCGATCGTAAAGGATGTCAAGAACCAAAATCCGCCAACGTTGATTCTTTACTGCGGCTGAAATATTCATTTTTAGAGCGTTAGTGAATTAAAAAAAATCAGTAAAAAAACCGGAATGTCCAAACTGATAAGGCTGAAAATTTTTTCACTTGTTATTTACAGTAAGATAAATACATTCACCAACTTTTATTAAAATAAATCCATTTAAACTGGGTGTTCGGATTTATATGTCACTTAGTATATTTATAGGAAAATGTTCTATAACAAAAACAATCTAATCCATTCATGGAAAAAAAATTTTTTCCCGCTGACCGTTTACTCTTTTCTCGTCGGGAAATCCGTCCCCGCCTGGTCGTTCAGTTCTAGAAAGAGGTAAATACAAAACCAAATCATGGCTCCTAATCCCCCGATTATTGAATAATATCGAAACTTTTCTCATTCCCGTTCGACTCTAAATATTTATTTTCTCTTTCTGGCCAGGCCCTCAACTTCCCGGTCGCATGTCTGATGGGAATCTGTCGGAAAGTTTCCTTATTTAAAACTCCAGATAAATGTTATCGACTTTACAACCGGATTATCAACGGGACCGAATCCCAGATAAATCCATTTTTCTACGGACGATTCGTATTTATGTCACGGTACGTTCACCTGGCACAGATCCGCAACCAGAAAAAAGAATTTCTTTGGAGTTTATTAATTATTGACAACGTCGAAAGCTGCTTGTTCACTTTTTTCGTCTTTGGCGGTTTTTAATGTCATCTGCAGTCGCAACCTTTAAATCTCCTTCAATCTGGTGCTAACCGTTGGTCACAACTCAAGGTATTGTATTGACACATGTTTTTGGGGGTATGAATGGAATGGATAATTTTATTAACAGAATCAAGATTTTTGAAATTAAAGAACCTTCAATTTGGATTACAAAGTATCGTAATCATGGGTGCCCACTAGGGCGGATGACAAAGGGGCGTAGGTCCCCTCTGGTTTCCGCTTGAGGAGTAAGATATACTCGGTTTTTAAGCAACGTGTGTGAGTGCGAAATTTATTTTGCTAGATCACTAGGGAAAATGTTCCTCCTCCCACACTTCAGATAGTTCTGAGATCTCATACTTCCGTCGATATTTTCTATCAGAGCTGATTTTCACTTTTCAAAGACATTCGTATATTTGTACTGCTTCTCTTGGAAAAAATACGTGCATGCGCCCATGGTAGGATAGTTTGTCAAATAGTTAGAGACCAAAGAGACCGACAGCCACTGCAGCATCTCTACGTATGACATCTGTAACCAAATCATATTTCTTTATAGACTGAGACTTGTCTTGTAATCAATAAAACCCATATGAACTGTACCTAATAATGTTCTGATAAGCATTTTTCTACATCATACGGGTGCGGCAGAGAGGACGGACGTTTTTGGGATGGGTAGTACTCTCCGCCTCCGCCTACGAGAGAGGTGGGGAGGGTGCCATTTGACTCGTGAGATCCTAGCATTATTTTACCAGTTGTCGTTATGGAGCCTTGGATGGTTTTTGCCTATGATTGTTTCGTCCGAAATAATGAGTCAGTCATCGTCATACAGCGTGAGTTTCGTCGCCATTTCAACATTCATCGGAATAGAGCTGTTCCCTCTCGAAACACCATCCTTCGTTGGGTTGAATCACTTCGCAGACGTGGTGAGCTGATCAACAGGAGACCAAGAGGAGCGCCGCGAACAGTTCGAACTCCTGAAAATGTTGAACGCGTTCGATAGGTCTTTCTTCGCAGTCCGACTCGATCTGCCCGGAAACATGCTGCTGCACTTCGCCTTGGTGATCGTTCGGTAATGCGAATTTTGCATATGGACCTCCGCTTTCACCCCTACAAATTGGACATTGCGCAACAGTTACAGCCCGGAGATTACGCACAACGAATGAACTTCGCACGTGAGATGGAAGCACTGATCGATCAAAATGAGAACCTCATTTTGTTTATGA